TGAATCTTGGTGGCCAACAACGCCTTGGTCACAACGGGGTCCAACGAAAAATTCAGCCCTAGAGACTCCATGGTTTCCTGAATGGTGGTACTCTCCACCGGAACCAATCGAACACTAGTCATTTTCTCAAGGTAACTCCTTGTATGACTTGAACATTCAAAGCTGCTCACCCCCAAACATGCCTCCCGCATGCTGCACATCACCTGCCATCCAGGGACCGAAGGAGGTGACAGGGGGGGGTAAGACAAGAACTCCCCTGTTCCTCAGGGGTAAGACAGACTGCATCCTAGTCCATATCCCCGGTGCACATCATGTAGCTTGTCCTCACAGATACCTGTGTAAGCCACCTCATGACATACCGGTAAGACTAATTAGCACAGCCTGTCATGACCTCATCCTCCCGGATGTTGATAGGGCTATTTTCCACGCAGAAGTCAAGCTCTCAAATGGTTCAGATGCATGTTAGCCTACGGGCAAGCTATGGACCACGTTGATCAGCTTACCAAAATCGGCCCTGTGCTTCTCTTATTCAAATGAATTCTGGTGCGCCACTCCTGACAAGGTCAGCGTGGATGCCAGCTCGCTGCTGCTCGCACCAAACAACCGTCACAAAAAGCGCGGCCCCAAGCCATAGCCTCCCTCATGTCCTGCGTCGTCATTGGTTTCACCAAGCGGATTGCACGCTCGGCTGATTGCTTGTGGGAGCAGAGGGTCTGGCCGTTGTGGACCTTGGAACGAAGCGTCGCAATGTAGCCGCAGGGCTCTGGGAACGGGTTCCTGAGGGAACTGGTCCTGATAGTCGTGTCCACCCACGACCTCATACCCTCTTCATGGATGATCCCCGGAATGTCCAACGAGCGCCTGCAGCTCTTGACATAGGCCACTGCAACATCCCAGCTCTCCTGGGCTAGCAGCGCACGGAACACACAGCCCCCAATACCTGCCCTGTGGCGCCCTGATAGGCAGTGGATCAGGGCCGACTCGCCTGCATACATCGTATTGCGCAGCAAGGGCCAGACCTCCTCGAAGTCCCTGTTCCTTGAACCACCATGGGCCACACACAGGTGTTTCAAGAGGGCATCTGTGAGCACCACTCCTCCTCTGGATGATGGGGCTTCGGCCATGCACGCAATCTGAAGGGTAACTCCCTTTGGAAAGCGATTTGCCGTGTTCCTGGTTGGGATTCCACTCAGCCACAACTTGCCCCCTGCCCTATTTTGATAAATAAGGCTCGGGCTCTCCGCTGTCTTGCCATGGATTGTCGCCAACCTGTCGAACTTCTGGTCGGGCCCTCGAGTATCCAGTGCCTCTGGAATCGGAAGGTCCTCCTCCTCGACTTCGACTTCTTCTTCTTCCGAACTAGTAACCAGGGCCGGCAATGGCGCTGGAGGTGGAGCTGGGGCTGCTTTGGCCTTCTTCGCTGGCGGTGCCTTAGACGGCGGCCCTTGTGGGGACCTTGGGCGCCTCACTGACGCCCTAGGAGGGGCAGCTGGCTCCGCAAATCGCTCCTCCGTGGATTTGCTAGTAGGCTTGGCCTTAGCAGATCCCGAACCAGGCCCTTCGCCAGGCATTTCCTCCACCTTGATGAACTTCTTGTCGTGGCATTCACATGCCGGATGGCCCCCACCACAAACTCGTCCAGCTTTGCGCAGAACAGCGCACGCATGGCGACCAGGACACACTTCCTTCTCCAAGGGGCAGGACCTTGTCTGGAAGGCTCCACAAATAGGCGCCCCATTCTTCATGAATGCGCTCAGCACCTTCCCGTTGAGAGATGCTGGCATCGCAGACAGGCCACCCTTGGCTTGTGCCTCCTCTCTTTTGGCCGCAGCTTTGAGCTTGAGGGCCTCAGACAGCTGGAAACGCGCCTGCATCTCCGCCTTCGTCAAAGGAGCTGCCCAAATGACCCTGGATTCCTGCTTCAGCACCTTGTCAACGGTCTGGCGCGCATACTCCAGGGCCTCAGCGTAAGTCTCTGTTGGGATGGTTTCCCATGACTCATGGGCAAGCAGCTTCTCCATGGCCAGCCTCACAATGTGCTTGGTCCTCAATGAAGACTCATACCTGGCTGCACTGTAGTGCATAGGCATTGTCGCCTCTTTCGGGATCTGGGAACGATCCGCCCAGTCCCCCAGCGAGCACAGCTCTAGAGGCGTCAGCTTCATCAAAGTGCCCACTGTAGGCGCAGCTCGCCGCCAGGAGTAGGAAGACAAATCCTCTGTGTTCTGGACCAAATGCTCAAAGACTTCACGATTGAGCTCATTGACGAACTTCAACGTGTATGCGGTGCCCTTCGCATCAAAGCATAACCCCGAAGTGGCTTGCTTAGCCTTGTCCAGACTGCTGTAGTCCCTGAATAAGGCCGAGCCCCAAGCCCATCCATTGACGAATGTGGCCGGGATGCTGAAGGAGAACCCGCCCCTGTTGGCCTTCTGCTTCCCCTTTGTGCAGTAGCCATGAAAGGAGCTGGGGGTCACTTTGACCGGCCTGGCACGCATGATGTGCTGGTACCGCAGGACACCAAAGGTGACCAGCCAGCTGGACAGTAAACCCCTCCAACGCGGGTCCTCTGCTTCGTACAACGATTGAATCTTCTCTTCAAGCGCTGCAATCATTGCGGGCTCAACTGCAACAGCCTGTTCTGGGTTTGCCTGTTTGGGTGGATTCTTGCGAGCTGGGACTGGTACATCACTGAAGTCCCATTGCAACCGACCATGTTTAGAGAACCACTTCAAGGAGTGAAAGGCTCGGTAAGGTCCGGACGTGCCGTTCTGCAAGAAGCCATAGAGGTCCAATGCATCCGGTGGGAACAGGCGGTCCTTCTGCTCCATGTAGGCCCGCAGCTCAGCCCAGGACTTCAGGGCGTTCACGACCGTTGCTCCTTCGGCCTCTGTCACCTTCCGCTTGGACAGGGTGTCCAGAGCGTCTTGCCACTGGGCGTACCTCTCAGGGGTCAACTCCCCTTGAGGACGCATAACCTTGGCTTGAGAAAAGGCCTTCCTCAATGCCGCAGCTCGCAGCAGCACATGCTCTGGTTGGTCTGGACCTGGCCGGACTCGGAGAGCTTGGACCATCTTGCTCTTCTTCATCATGGACGCCTTGGGCGTAGGCCATGTTGCTGGCCTGTCTCTGGAGCCCGAGCTTTCAGCCACGGCAGCCGCTTGAGGGATGAGGTCAGCTTCGACGGTCTTGGAGCGCGCTTGCAACCAAGCATCTGCCACATGGTGTCCTCCATGTGCCACTGCGCTGTCATAGGATGCGAACGCATATGCAAAGTCGGTCTCATCATGTAGGCCCCATTGAGATCGCCATTGTTCGACACGGGTGGCTGCCACCCTCTCCATCGCCGTCTCTGCACAAGGTGGAGCCTCACCAGCAGCCTGCACCGCATAGGCTCCTGGGTGGTACGCCATGGCAACTCCTGACACCACCGCAGCCAAGGTTTGGAGCGTACGGGCTGGGCCTGAAACTGCAGACCAAACCTCAGTATCATCAGGTAACAAACACACATCACTAGGCCGCAGCTGCTGCAGATGGGTCTCGATGCAAGACGGGGTGACATCCTGGACATTGGGAGGGTGGACAGGTACTGCACACTGAGGAAAAACAGCGCTCGCAGAGCTCAGGTGTCGGCAGCCCACAAGCCTTGCAAGGTGGCAAGGGTTCCTCCCCAGCCTCCATGGCACCGAGCCACCCCCACAAAGACCGAACTGCCCTGGCCCGTGGTGCTCTCCACGCAACCAGGTCAGCCGGGATGGGCACCATGGATGGGTCTCTCCATCCTCGACGCGGGGACTGCCAGGTTCTCCAAGCGGCCCACAATTCGGTGAGGTCAACCATACTCTCGGCATTGTGCTCGATGAAGGCGACCAAGCCAAAGATGTTGTCCGGCGCAAAGTCCCGAGCCGTCCAATGAGTCCGCAGCGGCTCGATGAGTAGCAAATCCAGCTTCGCCTCGCCCAGGCGATCATAGTAGGATTGCCACGAAAGCCGCGGGTCACTCCCGGGCAGAGCCAAGACAGCTGAGCTGTTCCATGTGCCAATCCAAGGGAACTTGAATCCTCCCAGATACTCAGTACACCTCCTACAGTTCTCCTCCATGCAAGGTGACCGTCTGAAAGGGGGGAGTCCCTGCACCCCCAACCCAATTGGATGTGGGGGGAAATGATCAATTTGGCACACAGAAGCCCACAAGCGGGTGGCCTCGGCCACCAAGCCCCGCTGGAGCAGGCCCTCCACGTGCGTCTTGAACTCGTAGTAGGCGGCTGCATGAAGTAGTTCCGCATCCGTGTGGGCAGCCTCATTCCAACCGGGCCGGACGACGACGGAGGCCCTTGGCATCGAGGGGGTGACCTCCCACCTTCGTAACCTCTGTACTCTAGGGTAACGCCCTAGTAGAGGAACGAGAAACCACTTAACCTAGGGTAACTCCCTAGAAGTGGCGTGGGTACCCCAGCAAAAGAAAGAACGATGAAGCCAGTTTGGCTCAGACTTGAGCCAAAATGGATTCATCAGCTTACATACTCACCCTAATGATAATGCACACCCAGTGCCTGCCAAACACGATGCATACATATATATCCAATCCAATTCAATCTATCTTTGAATCTATCTACCGATTGTCGATCCAGAAATGTCATGAAATGTATATCAGAATTCTGCGACTTGTTGCACCAACATCCCGAGGGACTTGCCTTTTAAGCCTCCAGGTGTGGAGCTAATGACCCCAACTACCCAGAAAAAACAAAAAACACATCTGCTACTAAAAAACAAAAGAGTTTTTGGTGGATCAGTAAAAACAATCAGCCTTTTCTGTGGGCCGAATTGGTCCTCAAATCGCCAAAGGTGCACTAAGCCCTAAAAACTCAACCTGGTGATTATAAGTCACTATATGTCATTGTAAGTCCCCGAATTTTCATTGCTCCATTTAAAAACATTGGTGATCATTGGTGCACCAGCCCGAAAAACGATCCTCCAAGCACTGAATTCTGCTTAGACGCTGCGGCTAAAGATTTCATCACCGAAGCAACTGCGGAGCACATGGATTTGCACTTGCCTGTGCGTCGGAATCAATCTTACATACGTCAACATGGCAATTCGAAATTTGTGAAAATGATGATAAACCATGATAAACCATGATAAACCATGATAAACCATGGGACAATAATGGTAAACCATGGCAAAATGATGATAAAACAATGGGAAAATGATGGAATATGATAAACTATTGGTTTGTTTTTTTTGATCCTGTACCCACTATTAAAACATACTGTAGCATTTTTCCGTCGAGCCGGAAGGCACCAACCAGCTTGTGGGTTGAGGTAATCATAAACTAACCTCAATCGGGATTGCTTTTTTGGGTATGTCGGTGTATCCATATTTGGAGTGATGTCTGGGATTCTTTATGAGTGGGCTTACCACAGTAAATCAAACAGCTTATCATGTCACTGCATGTTCCCAACCAAAAACCCGAATTCGAAATAGGACAGTGGGCTAGGAACACTGGGCATGTCATACTCTGGCACCCAAAAAGCGAAGGGAATGTACCAATGTACCCATTTCCATTAAGTGTAAGCCGAAAAATATCCATGTAACGCCAATGTTCATCCGTCTGCAGACCCATGTTCCACCAAAAAAAAGGCCCGTGGCCCTGGGGAACAACTGAACGGTCCATGTAGATCTGCAGCATTCTGCAGCAGGGCCTGTCTGAACGTAGCGTTGATCTGCCACACGCAAGAGCATCTCCAAGAATTGGTGACGGCTGAGCACCTGTGAACAATGTGAAAATTCCGAAACCGCAAAAGGTGTACCAACAGATGGGTACCACAATGTCACAATGTTGGCCTTTTTAAGACAAAAAACATGCAAGAACCATCTCAAACCCAAAAACAAGTGTAGAGCGAGTCAATTCAATCATTGTGAGACAATTCATGGGTGGCAGTGATATCAGTGATGACAATGGCAGCTTGAAATCCTCAGGCCAGCTTAAATATACAGAGGCAGATGTCATCTTGATTTAGATCATCCATTTTCCGGGCACACCCGATGGCCTGAGCCTAAAATTTTTAAAAAGCACCTCGGATTATTTGGAATGTCCCTGTGTACTGCGAAATTTGAGTATGATCATATATATATACACGTATACATACAGTATATCAAGATTTTGTTCATTGGGCCAACTAGAGGGACAATCGTTAATATTCATCAGTATCGGACTATGTCAAACCCAAACCTCATTTTTTAACATCAACCCCAAAAAATCCAAAGCCCTCCAAACATTCGCATTCTTGCACCTTTGTGTTACTTTGTGTTACCTCCTGAATTGCTCATGACGACTTGCCACTCTTCCCTCCAACCGCCTTGTCTCCCAGCGTGCCGTTGGCCCCTGCTTTCCGCAGGTCAAAGGGAAGCACCTCCAGCGTCAGATCTGTCAGGTTCCAAACAAGAAAGATAAAGGTGCCTAAACCATCTCCTACGAGCCCAAAAATCAGATTCAACGCCTTCACAAAAATAATAGTAAAAGTCGCCGTCAAGAAATATGTGTGTTTCAAGTTGCTTTGATTTGAACCACCCCGACTAAATGAAGGTTCCATTACCAATACATACCCGACATACCCAAAGTGAAGGAACCAATGTCACTGCACCTTTGCTGCGATGAAGCAGCGATCGATGTCTGCTACCCTGGCGCAGACTCAAATTTCACATGGGAGAGTACCCACAGTTGAGGACCTTGATCTTAGATATTTTGGTGGGATCCTAATGACAAGTCACAAGAGTACCCAGAACTACATATTTTAACCCATGTTCAACAATTTCATTGTACTTTGAGCATATTTAGAACCTCGTGCAACGGAATCATAGGACCCACCATCATCATCATCATCATCATCATCATCATCATCCTACCTGCTTATGGAATCATGCCTCTTCCAATCTGTGACCATCTTTTTTGGGATCGTCGGTCCAGGGTCCAGCCGTCCAGCCTGGTGACATCATCCACCAAACCAGCTTGCATAAGCAAGGCTGATGCCTGCGGTCCACCAAACCAGCGGTTCCATAGTCATGGGGGTACCCCTTTATCGCTGGATGGTTCCTGGAAATTCCTATCAACATGGATGATGACTGGGGGTACCCAAAAAATGGGTTTCTTGATGGGTTTCTTCTGTTCATTCCGTGGGTCTGCATGATGTCCCGCAGAGCAATGGATCCAATGGTGACTTGCCACACCCGCTGAGCCCGCTGGAAGTTCATCCCGGCAGTTGTCCAAGCAGCTAGCTGATACAAAAACACAACTATATAATAAAAAAAATCAAGATCCAATAAAATATTATATATACATATATATATATATATAAGTTAGACATACCCTTGTTCATCCACCATCTGCCATTCTGCCCCCTACATTCATTTTCACAAATGCATTTACACATAGATTTTTTAACCAAAATAACAATCATTTTACCAATCATTGATCAACCATATTATCAAACCTATTCTCATTCAATTTGGGGGATTTCATCATTTGTAAATAGTTTGGCAGGTGGTGGGTGAACAAGGTCCCCTACATTCATTTTTCAACTCCTCAATCTAATTCACACATGTGGACGAAAAACGCTATTCTTGTTCGTTTTTCCCCGGCGCGTGGCTGAACTGCTTTTTCAACACCTCTGCAGCAATCAGAATCGATCATTTCTTTGTGTCCCATCTGAAAAGGTACTGCTCTGCAGGAACTTTCTCCTCGCCGTTTTTCCAGTCTCCTTCGACGCTCTGTTTGGTCGTGTAAGCAGTGGGAGACATTTCAATTATCTGGTTTGGAACAACCACCACCCACTTAATACATCTCACTTTCTTCAACGAATCCTTCTCGAAGTGTTTGTTCATCACATCTTGCAGGGCTTTCAGTTTGAATGAGTGTCCCTCAGCCTTGGTGGTCTGCAACAGCCACAGGGTCAGATCCTCTTGTTTTTTGGCTTTGACAGTTACGAAGAAAAAATCTGCAGCCGGGAAAGTCTTTGACGAAGGGCAATACAATCGGTCAGGCAAAATCTTTGTAAGGTCTGGCGCCTTCTTCACTTCTTCCTCTTTGTTTGGAACAATGATGGTGATGCCCTTTGCGCAAATACCTTTGAGCGCTAGCTTCATTGCTTTGTCAGATGTCAGCTCTTGTTTCACGTGCTTCTCAAAGAAACTGCCAACCACAGTGCCCAAAGGGCTCATGGACATAAAGGTGTTGATGAAATCTAAGCGCTCTTGCTTTCCACGGATCTCAAGTTTCTTCTCAAGCAGACCCACGACAACCTGGGAGTCGAGGAAACGCACAGTTGCCGTTTTGAAATCCTCCGAAGTGCTCATTTGGAACAGGTAGCTCAGCTTTCCTCTTTTCTCGGCATCCGCGTTGTCATGCGTTGTCCATGCTTTCTGGGCTAGACACTGTAACATTCGCAACGTGCTTGAGTTCCGCAGTGCTGATTCCGCCCATGTAGTTCTCAACAATGTTCTCTACAGACTCTTCTTGTATCAAATGCTGCTGCAATAAGCGCACAGTGCCACCAAGTGATGAGTAAGCCTTGTTCACAGACTCTTCTAGAGGATCTGGCGCAAACATAACATGTTTGAATCTTTGAACCTCCTCCTTTGTCCATACAGGCATGAACCGGACAGCACTATGAACCCGTTGCTGATTGTATGCAGAATGGTAGCTTGACCTGCTGGGTGATGTGAAGACCATACTGCATCCCATGTCTCGGTTCTGTAGAGGCGTCCTGTTCTCACCTCCGATGGGGTCAAACAACAGCACTGTCTCTGCGTTCTTGAGAAAGTTCAAAGGCTCTTCCCTACCATGTGCAACGATCTTACCACGGGCTCTTGACCACCATTCCTGACCTCTTTGGATCACAATGTCATAGTTCTTCTCTGCCAAGAACCCAGCCATGTAGGCAAGGAAAATCGACTTGCCAATGCCGGGAGTGCCAGTGATGACGAAAAGTCCAATAGGTAAATTTTCCAGCCTCCCTCTCAGCCATTTCATTGCTTCGTCCTTCATCTTTACAAAGCAATCTCGCACAATCAACTTCTTCTTCATATCTACATTCCCAAGAATGTAGGCGTCAAACTCCTTCACCTCGTTTGCCTTCCACTCGCTTGGCTTCTTCTGGACAGCTTCTTCGAGCCACTTGCAAAGATCATCTTGCACTGGGACTGCCTGAAACCAATCAAGGAGACCAAAAAAAATACAACCCCGAAAAGCAATCAAATACCCCACTCAAATTAACATACCTATGAACCAGAGACGAATAAACCAACAAAGCCTAAAAAGGGGGAGTGAAACAAAATTTGGGGATTCTGTTAAATTCAAGGGGCTGGTGCTGGTGTGTTAGCTTCGCGAAGATTGTTGTGCAGCCGCAAGGCCACCTGCTCTCTAAGGTTCTCATCACTAATTGCTGATTTCAGTAGACTCATCAAAGCATCAAAAGTGGCTGTGTAGAGGTCTTTTTCTGAGAATTTGTCCAGCTTTGTGGCCACATTCGTCTTCACGGTCTCATCAAACTCTTGCAGACAGTCACGAAACCATGGACCATCGAGTTTCCGCTTCTTTGGCGGCGGCGCTTCTGCCATGTCCTCGGGATTGCATACCAATGTCCGGAATACTGCAGTAGCAGAATGAACGTATGTGTGAATGTGCAGTTTGTGAATGCAACAAGTCATGATCTCTCTTAAAATCCTGAAAGTGTTTAGCTTGCACCTGCGATCCAAACATGCAACAGATTGGTATGAAAACCCCAATCAATATATATAAAACTGGTGAAACACCCATGGTCTTGGGAACCCAATAATTGGGATTTTCAAATCCCCAACATTTGGGACTTTAAAATTCCCAAGTCTTGGGATTTTGAAAGGCCCAAATGGTGGGACAACGGGTGTATCTAAACCTTTAACAATTCAGATCTCAAAAATGATCGTTTCTGTCCTTCAAGGGAATAATATTGTTGTCCTAATTTCTTCTCAATACCAGTGACTATATATTTGACACTCCCCCAGTTTGATGTTCTCTCTTTCTCGGTGATGGCTTTCTTACGATATATTTTCACTTCATCACCAACTCTCAGAGTAGGATATTTACGGGTTTTGACCCTATTCATTTCCAATTTCAGTTTTACCTTCAAATGGTTCTCTTTCTTGTGGGCTTCATTTGGGGTCATGTCATGGGCAGAGTGGATCATCTTACTATTATATGTCAATAAAATCTCACCCAAATAGTCAACCCATTGTATATTATTCTTACCCTTTTTCTCATCAGCATCAATTCTTTTGAATAACATATCTTTGAAAGTCCTGTTAAATCGTTCAACAAAATAAGGATGGCTTCTAGTTCTATAGTTTTGGATCTTTTGATCTTTGAAAAAATCCTGCATTTCAGCAGTTTGGGTCGTGTTCCCTCATCATCGGAATACATAAGTTTGGGTTGTGATCCCATCGTTCGCATCCCTTCCAAAATCCCAGTAGTGACATCAACCATATTCTTACTTTTAATAGGTGTTACCACGGCTTTTCTGGAAAAGACATCTAATAACACCAAACCACCCTTATATTCTTGGTTCTTCAGATCTTTGGGGGAAATAAAAAAGAAATCTAATTGGTATTCATAATTGGCCTCTGGGGCAACAAAGCTATTGTATCCACTCAACTGGGTTTTCCTTTCAATGTTCTCACTGAACCAATCCTTAACATCTTGCATAGTGATGGATGGATCTTTTTTTTGGCATCCAAGTAGGTTGTCCTTTGAGAACCAAAACCCGCTCTATCATAATATACATCATTGATGATCTTATCTTTACCTGACATATAAATATAGACATAAAATATAAATATATTTTATAATCCTAATATGAAACCTTATTACTAAAACACCGGTTGCAAGAAGCACAGAAGGCCACACAGTTGTCCTTCAAGTGAGGCTGATCATTGTCCAAGCGTTGGGCGGTGAGATTGGAATTTACACTACCATTATCAGAAGATAAAGTAAAGCCACAACCACAGTTATAACATTTATCATTGACCCTGTCTAACAACCACTGGGTATCTATGTAATTGAATCTATCAATGGGTCTGGATGCTTTACGATCCTGATCTTTGTATGCAACTATTTTTCTCTCAAAATAATTTTTGATACATGTCTCATTGAACTCTTCATTTAAATCACTACTATATTTGAAAAACCTTACTCTGTTCAAATCCCTAGCTCTAGTGATTGCAGTCCACAACCACTCTCTTGAAATCAAATGATGATTCCAATCAAAAATAGTAACATTATCATCTATGGAACATCCCTGCACTGAATGGCAAGTAAAACAGAATGCAAAAATAAAATGACTTCTCAAGATACCAATATGTAATACTATCTCTTCTCTAGTTTTTATGTTGGCTATGGTGATCCAAGGGTCAGTAATGGAAATGATCTCATATCTAAAATTGACATTTAGCTTGTATGTTTTGGTTTTCCGGTATTCCCTGCATATCATTATCTCACCAACTTCAAATTCAGATTTCTTACCCTGACGTTTCCTGATTTGTTTTGATACTTCTCTGCAAGTATTATTCAGATAGGCAATGTTGGATTCAGTTCCTGCTATGTCAGTGGTGTATTCAAAATACTTGTTAACTACTTCAACCAAATCAAGATTATATTCAAAAATATCATAAAAGATACTTTTTAGTTTATCCCGATCCTTTTCACCAAGTCTTTTACATTCTTCAAGGTATATATGTTGGGGGAAGATGGTATCAATACATTCATTCATATAAACCTCGTGTTTTTTGGTGTTGGTAAGGGCTTTGATTGGTGCCAACTGTTTGGCATCACCAGTAGCCAAAATAAATTTGTCCTTCCAGTTTTGATCAACGAAGTCCTTAATTTTTGCCAAAACATAGCTATTATTGAAACAGATCTCATCAAAGACAATGACATCAAACTCTGAATAATCAAACTTACCCAGTTGTTCATCACCAATAGCTATACTGAAGAATTTATTTATAGTAACTGATTCATCATCGAATTCTAATCCCAAATTATTGGTGGGCACTACGAACAGAACTTCAAAAACCCCTTCAGCCTCTCCATATTTTTACAGGTGGACTTCTCAGCCCCAGCGAATTTAGCTTTGATCATAACTAGCCGTCATGTTTCTCAACAAGATCAACCAGATCATTTTCATCATACTCATCCATAACATTTATATATATCATAAATATTCTCTTACTTTTGATAACTGGGATGTCAACATATTCACAAGATTTTTCTTCAAACAATTGGGTGCCAGTATGATGAATTTGATCATGACCCGAAATGCCATCACCCACCGATCCCATCGAAGTCCAACACCTCCTGGATGTTTTTCTTAGACGAACCATTTATTGAAGCCACTGCATTGAACAACAAAAGCATCAGATAAAAAACACTTAAAACTTTAATATCATTATCTACTAGCTTTTGATAATCATGTTGCATTTTGTAATTATGATGTTGCAAAAGCAATTCCTTGATATATCTAAAGCCATTGCGTAACTCACTAGTATCAGATACATTCAGAACATAATAAAGAGACTCATCATTAGAAACAACTTCCCTATCTCTACACCATACCCCGTTCTCATCATAATCCTCTACCCATTTAGCAGTTTGTCTACTGATCATATTAAGCTTCCCCCCCACATCAGCTTGAAGGCGAACTGCTTCACTGACATCATCAAAAACAAATGACCGTTGGCTTCTGTTAGTGCCCTTTTCTAGTAAACCAAAGCTAACATTGGCTATTAACTTTTTGATGGACTTGTCCTCATCAGAATCATCACTGATTAGTTGCCCCCACAACTCATCAATGATGGATTTGTAATCTACTTTATGGATAAAATGGGGTTGTTTGTAGTGAGTTATTTTTAATTTACCACTCTCAATCAATGGCATAAACTCTTTCAAAAACATTCCGTAGATCAGAGTAGTCTGTTTGTTAAAAAACATGTTGGGTGTATCCAGCTTACCATTGACAATATACAAGTTAAGATCACGAATCTTACTTTTTGGATTGAAAATCTTCCAGTTGTCAAAGTGATCAAAGACCGGGATATGAGAGATGGAAGAAAAGGCTTTAGTAAAAGCTTTGCAAATATCAATCTCCTGTTTTGTTTCATCCATGTTATCAAGATTTTTAAACAACTCACCAAGAGGAACAACAGTCCTGAATTTGGTCAACACTTCTGTATCCACCGAACTGTAGTCAGATCTATGATTGGGATTAAACAATGACTTTTTAAATCTAAAAAATGCTTCAGCCATGTTGTTGTATACCAGTTCCCTATCAACAGGAACATCACTGTTAATCTGATCATCCACCAACATTTGGGTCTTGATGCAGAAATAAACATTGTTAAAATCACCCTTCAAGTATGAAATAGCACCAGCTTTTTGAACAATAGAAGGTTCATAACCAACAGATTTAAAATCAAAAGATTTTGTTAAGATCATTTTCTTGATGAACCAGTTCCAGATAATCCTTATCATTTTTGGTTTCTTCAGTTCTTGATTGAACAATTTCTTTAACCATATCAAAAATGTCATCAATGGTAGAGAACATTCTGCACTTTGAAGGCTTTTCAGCACCACTGATGTAATAATCAGATCTGGCTTTTACATACACTGTTCCGTCACTATCAGTTTTCTGTGCCAGTCTGTTTATGTTATTATTCAAGGTGTAAATATGGCTGTTTTTAACCATTGCAAAGAGTGGCTTGATATGTGGGTTCCTGACTTCTGGGTCATAGCGATAAATTATCCTGCCTAACTGGTCAATTATCCTGACTTGAATCCTGTATTTAACAAACAAGGGGATCATATCATCAATGGAAGCACCGTGTTTTTTGAAATGCTTTTCTTTTTTGTTAATCAGTTGGAGGATCCTTTCTCTGGTCATTGGATCCTTCTTTTTGTTACTTATCAATGTTTCATTGTAAAAATATTTCAGAGTATTAATCCAACACTCATTGTCAGTATAGTTACCTTTCTTGATTGCTTCAGCTATTGTTTCTTTAGCAGTGTCCAATTCTGTATACATATAGGTATGATACATACTGATATTACTATTGGCTTCCCTAAGATTTGCTTGTTGTGCATTGCGGGGTTCAGCACCTTGCCCAGTGTTTTGGACTCTCAAGATTTTGATAGCGTCAATGTAATCAGCCACGACATTGTAAACAACTTATCCAAAAAAATATGATCTTGAGAGAAAGCTACTAACAACTTTTTAAAGAAACTATAGTCATCTACTTTGAGTATTCTTTGTCCAACTAAAGAATCTATATCTATGTTTGTGTTTATTTCGTATGCTCTTTCTTTTGAATCTATCTCCACTGGGTAGTATTTGAATTCCCTTTCTGATCCTGAGATGATTCTCTTGATTGTGAAGGATGGATTTTTTGTTTGGGGACGAAGTGAATAAACCATTGTCTCTACCATATATGTTCTGTTATTTGCCCTTGACTTTGCGACTATGTTGCTCACTGTGCTTTTTTTCATTCTGACATTCAGTGGGTTATTGATCCTGTTGTTTTGGATCACTTCATCA